GTCCAGGCTCAACCTTTGGTCACAGAGTGTCCCAGCCAAGTCCCTGAGCCCAGGATCCTGGGTGTGGCAGGGAAGGTCCTTGGGATTAGTAACAGGCAGTATGAGAAAAAAGCGCCCCTTATCTAGTTCTATGAAGCATGTAATTGGAATTTTAATAGGAATTGCATTAAATCTGTATAAGAGTTTTGATAGTATTTTGACAATATTAATTCTGCCTATCCAAGAGCATAGGAGATCTTTTTATATTCTATGGTCTCCTTCAATTACCTTCTTTAGTATTCTGTAGTTTTCATTGTGGAGGTCTTTCACCTCTTTTGTTAAGTTGATTCCCAAGTATTTTATATTTTTGAGGCTATTTTGAATGGGGTAGTTTTCTTAATTTCTCTTTCAGTGGATTAATCACTTCAGTATAGAAATGCATTTGATTTATTGGTATTGATTTTATATCCTGCTACTTTGCTGAATTCATTTATTAGTTCTAGAAGTTTTCTGTTGGAATTTTCTGAATCTTCTAAATATAGAATCATGTCGTCAACAGTGATAGTTTGAGTTCTTCTTTTCCTAAGCATATCCCTTTAATTTCTTTTTTTTTTAATGTTTATTTCTTTAGTTTTAGGTGGACACAATATCTTTATTTCACATTTATGTGGTGCTGAGAATCGAACCCAGTGCCTGACGCACGTTAAGTGAGTGCGCTACCACTTGAGCCACATCCCCAGCCTTCCCTTTAATTTCTTTTGTTTGATTGCTCTGGCTTGAATTTCAAGAACTATGTTAATAGAAGTGGTAAAAGGGCGCATCCTATCTTGTTCCGGTTTTTAGAGGGAAGGTTTCCAATTTTTCTCCATTTAGAATGATGTTGGCCTTAAGCTTAGCATAGTTAACTTTTACAGTGTTGAGGTATGATCCTGCTATTCCCAGTTTTTCTAATGTTTTGAACATGAAGAATTGCTGTATTTTATCTAATGCTTTTTCAGCACCTATTGAGATAATCATATGATTTTTGACTTTAAATCTAGTGATGTGATGCATTATATTTCTTACTTTCCATATGTTGAACCAAACTTGCATCCCTGGGATGAACCCCACTTGATCGTGGAGCACTATCTTTTTGATAGATTTTTGTATGTGATTGGCCAATATTTTATTGAGAATTTTGCGTCTATGTTCATCAGGAATATTGGTCTGAAGTTTTCTTTCCTTGATGTGTCTTTTTCTGGTTGGTATCAGGGTGATGCTAGCCTCATAGAATGAGTTTGCAAGGGTTCCCTTCTTTTCTATTTCATGGATTAAATTGAGGAGTATAGGTATTAGTTCTTCTTTGAAGGTATTGTAGAACTCAGCTGAGAATCCATCTGGTCCTGGGCTTTTCTTGGTTGGTAGGCTTTTGATGGTGTCTTCTATTTCTTTGCTTGAAATTGATCTGTTTAAATTGTGTATGTCCTCCTGATTCAGTTTGGATAGATCATATGTTTCTAGAAATTTGTTGGTATCATCGACATTTTCTGTTTTATTGGAGTATAAATTTTCAAAATAGTTTCTAATTATCTTCTGTATTTCAATAGTGTCCATCCTGATATTTCCTTTTTCATCATGAATTTTAGTAATTGGAGTTTTTTTCTTTCTCTTCATTAGCATGGCTAAGGGTTTATCAATTTTATTTATTTTTTTTAAAGAGCCAAGTTTTCATTTTGTCAATTTTTTTGAATTGTTTATTTTGTTTTAATTTCATTGATTTCAGCTCTGATTTTAATTATTTCCTGTTTCTACTACTTTTAGTGTTGGTTTATTCTTCTTTTTTTGAGGGCTTTGGGATGTAATGTTAGGTCATTTATTTGTTAATTTTTTATTCTTTTAATGAATGAGCTCAATGCAATGAACTTTCCTCTTAGCACTGCCTTCATAGCGTCCCAGATATTTTGATAGGTTGTATCAGTGTTCTCATTTACCTCTGAGAATTTTTCTTATCTTCTCTCTTATGTCTTCTGCTACCCATTGTTCACTCAATATCATATTATTTAGTCTCCAGGTGTTGGAGTAGCTTCTACTTTGTATTTTATCATTGATTTCTAGTTTATTCCATTATGATATGATAGAATACAGGGTAGTATCTCTATTTTTTTATGTTGCAGAGAGTTGCTTTGTGGCATAATATATGATCTATTTTAGAGAAGGATCCCTGTGCTGCTGAGAAGAAAGTGTGTTTGCTCAATGATGGATGAAATATTCTATATATGTCTGTTAAGTCTAAATCATTAATTGTATTATTGAGTTCTATAGTTTCTTTGTTTATTTTTTGTTTGGAAGATATATCCAGTGGTGAGAGTGTGAATTAAAGTCACCCAGTATTATTGTTTTGTGATCTATTTGCTTCCTGAAATTGAGAAGGGTTTGTTTGATATACATAGATGCTCCATTGTTCGGGGCATAGATATTTATGATTGTTATGTCTTGTTGATGCATGGTTCCCTAAAGCAGTATGAAATGTCCTTCTTTATTTCTTCTGACTAACTTTGGTTTGAAGTCCCCTTTATCTGATGTTAAGATGGAAACCCCTTCTTGTTTACATGGCCCAGGTGAGTGAGTGATATGTTTTTTTCCCCATCCTTTCACCTTCAGTCTGTGGATGTCTTTTTCTATGGGATGAATCTCTTGAAGGCAGCATATTGTTGGATCTCTTTTTAAAATCCAATCTGACAGTCTATGTCTTCTTTTTTTTTAGAGAGAGAGAGAGAGAGAGAGAGAGAGAATTTTTTAATATTTATTTTTTTAGTTTTTGGTGGGCACAACATCTTTATTTTATTTTTAAAATAAAGCATTGTAGCGCGCTTGCCTGGCATGCGCGGGGCGCTGGGTTCAATCCTAGCACCACATAAAAATATCAGTTGTTCACTCTGCACAGACAATCCCCTGCCATTTCTCCAATGCCAATTGACATGAATGGCACCAGTTAAGAAAATATTGAAGAAGAAATTATAGAAAGAGCTGATTAAATTCTCCAGTGCTGAAAGTAGCATAGACTTGAAGGTACACTTGCATGAGATAACCAAGCAAAGATTTCTGAAATTTTTGTCTTCACATGCTTAATTAATTCCTGATTTAATTTGAAATGAAGGACAGGGATCCTTTTGAAGGCACAGGGGCAAATATGAAGGTCTGAGACTTCAACAGGCCTCTTTTCTTGATAACGAATATTTCCATTAGGCAATTCAGTCAGACTCCAGAGAGCAATTCTGGAGCCAGAGATGCTTTTGGTAAATTTGCATCTGGAGTTTTATGGGAGGCATAGTGTGCAAGGGGCACAGATGAAAGGCCAGTAATGCTTATTGTTTTTATTTTTTATTTTTAGTTATAGATGGACACAATACCTTTATTTTATTTATTTGTTTTTATGTGGTGCTGAGGATCAAACCCAGGGCCTCACATGTGCTAGACCAATGCTCTACTGTTGAGCCACAACTCCAGGCCAGTAATGCTTATTAATGAGGGGCTTTAGCCAATGTTTCATGTGCTTTCCTAATTGATACACATCTGTTATAAAGTATGTATATATTTATTTATTTTGGATACTAAGGACTGAACTCAGGGGCACTTGGCCACTGAGCCACACTCTCAACCCTATTTTGTATTTTATTTGGAGACAGGGTCTCACTGAGTTGCTCAGCACCTCACTTTTGCTGAGGCTGGCTTTGAACCCCCGATCCTCCTGCCTCAGCCTCCGGAGAAGCGGAGAAGCCGCTGGGGTTACAGGCTTGCACCACTGTGCCCAGCTGAGTATTTGTTTTTCAGTAGTGGACTCCGGGCCCGGGAGGTTGATGAGCCATAGACAAATTATCAATCAAGGCAATTCTTCAATTTGTAGAATACACACATTTTATCCTCTGATCCAAGAAGCTATTCTTATTTTATTTGCTTGAGACAATGATAGTACAGGAATGCCCCTTCCCCCAAGAGACTGAGTTTGATAACTTTGGACCATCCAGGATGCTGTAGGTCACCACACAGAATTTGCATGCCACTGTCCCTTTGGGAACCATCTGAACACCCTCTGGATAGACAGGAAGTATCTGATGGGCTGATGGTCATAGTGCACAAAGGCACTGTACCAAATTATATAAAGATTCCATTAAAGAAATGATAACAAGTTTACAAAGAACAACATTCTGGGGCTGGGGATAGAGCTCAGTTGGTAGAGGGCTTGCCTCCATGCACAAGGCCCTGGGTTCAATCCCCAGCCCCACAAAAACAAACAAACAGAAAATAAGAACAACATTCTTTAAGTAACTCCATGGTAAAGAAACAATGAAAAAATGTGGAGAACAAAGAGGGCAGATGCAATGTCAATCATCTGCAGATCTTACAACAAGACATGACAAAGAGATCTTACAGAGAGATTCTACTTTAAAAGATCTTATTTTTAATCCTGTAAGAAAATTTAAATCTGCTAGACAGTATCAGACTTTTCTGGGAGTCGTTCATTTCATACACGTAAAAGTAAAAAGGACCAGCCAAACTAGCTGGACTTGCACTAAATTAAGTCTCTTTTGAACAGCACTAACGATTTTTTAGGGATAAACATTTGAATTTTACTGGTTTAGCAGTGGCAAGAACAATCACGAGGTTGGCGGTAGATAGACTGAAGCTCTGAAGTTAAGAGTTGCTCAGGTGAAGCAGGGAGGGTCCCCGCGGATCAGAAACAGGCCGCGTGAGAAGGTGCGCTGGTGGCAGGGTCCTCATCCCGCCCCGCGCTGAACAGGTGGCCTGGGCGTCTCGGTCGTCCCCAGGGTCCCCTCACCCAATCCCGCCCCGAGCTGAACAGGTGACCTAGGGCGACTCGGTCATCCCCAGGGTCCCCCCCCACCCCGCCCCGCGCTGAACAGGTGGCCTAGGGCGTCTCCGTCATCCCCAGCTGTCCGGGTCCGGGAGGCGGAGCTCTGGGGGGGCGCGGTGGGGGAGGCGCCACCTCGTTCCTTTATCTCCGGGAGGAGGGGCGGCCCGGGAATGAAGTGTGACAGTAGCCCTACTCGCCGCCGCCATGGAGCAGCCGCGCGCTGCTGCTCGCCTGCGGAGGATTCTGGGGCACCTTGGCGGTTCCTCGGTTCGGGCCGTGGTATCCTTTGGGGTGAGGTGGACTCGCGCCACCCAGTTGGGGCACAGCAGCCTCGGACTTGGAGATTGACGCGGGCTCCTATGGTGGCCTCCCGGTCTCAGGACTGCCCCTTCTCTTGCCCTGAGCGCCCCTCCGCGCTACTATCCCCCGAAAAGTTACATCTCAAAAGGAGACCTGGGAGCGGGGTTGGATCTCTAGGCGCTGGTAGCCCCCCACGACCCCAAAGGCATCTTTCCCCGGTATTGGGTACGTGACTGTACCGGTCTCAGTGGCTGCTATCGCGCTTGGCTCCACCTTTCTGGTACTTCTTAGGGCCTACTGTTTGTTGCTTCGTGAAGAGGGGAGGTTGGGTGGCCTTGCCATAGTCATCTGCCTTGTTATTTTTTTTGTACGGTGTGCAAGACCTCTAGGAATGCTTGGAGACCAAGAAATGCCCGAGGGCAGTCACATTAAACAGGAGCACACAGCTGCTTGGGAGTGGCCTAGGGGCCAGGCATCTGTCCTCCTCTCAAGAGAAGATGCCAGTCCTCTGAAGGGGTGGACACAGCAGCGCGGAGGTGGATCCTTGTCCCAGCCTCTGCTTGGGAGCTTCCTAGGGGAGCTCTGTGCTCCGTAGCAGCCTCTGGTGGCTTGGGGATCCTGACAGAGTCCTAAGCTGATATGTAGGAAAAGGATTTAGACAAGGATTTACTCCTTGTCTTCAGAAGTGAATCCCAGAAGGAATGTGTGTGCCAGGCTTGTAGGGGAGGAGCAGACCCAGAAATAGGGTACTATGAATAGACCTGCCCATCAAATCGGCTTCTTGAACTGCTTTTGCCTGCCCATTCAGGGCGCACTTTTGGAAGCTCTGTAGGAACTGCATGGAGTTTTTCCTTAGGCCAGTATCCTCTCTTCTGCTTTATGTTAACATCCTGACATCTCTCCTAAGGTTGATTATCACAGCTGTTTCTTGGACTTTCAGTGTTGCTCTTCCCACTGGGTTTCCAAGCAGCCATGTGGGAGAACATTGAAATGCTTAAACTTTGTCCATAGAATGATAAAGAGACCCCAGGTGAGGATGTCAGCTCATTTTACAAGTGAGTAACAGAGTCTAGGAGAGATTAAAAATCTGGACCAAGATCATTTAACTAAACCAGTGTTTGTCATAGTGTGGTCCATGGAACAGTGTCATCTGCATCCCCTGGGAACTTGTCAGAAGAAGTGGTTAGAAAAGGACTTCTTCTGGGCAGGTTAGGTCAGTTTGTTTAGCTTAGTGGCAGAGGGCTTGCCTAGTACTGCAGGGCCCTGGGTTTCATCCCAGGAGGGTGGGGAATGCAAATTCTATGGCTCAACTCAACTCCAAAGTTGCTGAGTCAGAATCTAGAATGACGCACTTAGGTGTCGTTTATCTTGACATTTGTGATGTAGCCTAGATTTCGAGAGTCACCAATACACTGGGATATTTAGAAGTTTAATTAGGGTTTCTTTGTTCAGTTTCTCAATGCTTTGTTTTCCCTCCCTGAATTTGGAGATTCTTTTTTCATGGCTGTTTTCTATAGGAGCACTGTTTAACATGGCTTTCTGCAATGATGGAATATTCTATGACTGGACATGTAGCTATTGAGCCATTGAAATGGGACCAGCGCAATTCAGGGACAGCATTTGACATTGAATTAATTTCAACTTAAATAGGCAGAGGAGCCTGATGGCTATAATCTTGGATAGCACTGGCTAAGATTTGCAGTGAATTTCCTTTCGTCTTAGACTTCTGGAAGTTTTGTGACAGTTTTTCTCCAGCCTTCATTGTTTCTTAGGAAGGTAAATTTTGGAATAAAAGTTTGATGTATAAAATGTCATATTTATTTTTTAAAGAAGATATGTAGAAAGGGGGAAATTAGAGACATATAACTCATTATTCTACCAGTGACAATTCATTGGTAAACTTTTTAGTGTTTTCCATCATTTGCATATGTATTACAAAACCAGGAACATACTGTATGAGGTTTTTGCATCCATTGTTTTCACCTAACTTTAGATTATAAACATTTCCACTTTATTAAAATTTCCCCAAGAACAATAATAACAAAACAACATGCTGGAGGAATAGTGGAGAGGCACCAAGAACGTTGGCTAGAGTCTGAAAACTGAATATCTTGGCAATGACAAATTGCTGAGGGTGGTTGTCCCCGGGCGTTAATCCTTCTGCCTCTGATAGAACAGACAGGAACTCATAATTCTGACTCTTGGCTTGCATCCCTCCTGGACTACGATACTGTCTCTACATTCCTTAGAGACTTCATTTAAGAAATGATAACCTGTTTATGAAAAGTGACACTTTGAAAGGAATTGTTTTAGCTAAAGAAACAATGAGAAAATAATAGAAACCATGAGATGCTGTGTCAATAATCTGTAGTTATAGAATGGAAAAGTTATCTTATAAAAAATAATTTATAAAAAATAATTTTACAGATATTTTAAAATTATACTATGGGGTTCATACTCAAATTGGAGTCATTGTTTATTTTATGGACTCCCATCTCCCCATTGAATGACCACCCAAACTTTCTAATATTTTGAACTGAAGCCCAACTCAATTAAATACTTTTTGTGAATAACCATGTTCTGTCTTTACTTCCAGGTTTGAACCTTTGGGTTTGTATTTGTTTAGTGGTTAGGTGAAGCAAATCACATGGATTAAGACAGACTGAAGCCTTGAAGCAGAGTGTGAGTTCTGTCCTGGCTCAGCCATTCCCCTCTGGGTGACCTTGGCCAGTTACTGAGCTCTCCAAGCCCAGGTTTCCTAGTGCAACAGCAGGAATGACTATAAAACCTCTGATATATCTGCCACCTCAGATTATTGTGACAATGAGACAAAGTGATATAAATGAAAGGACTTAAAGCAGCAGTGTGTACCTGTCAGGGTGATGTGGGAAACCTGAGCACCTGGTGCCTGTTTAGGGAACTCCTTTCTTGTGAGAACCTCCCCAGAGAAAATGGTTGTTTCTAGACAAGTTTGACTCCCAAATTTTACTTTTTTTTTTTTTTTTGCCTTAATTCACACCCTAGGTAGCTCACCGCACATCAGGGAAGATTACCCCTGCAAATTTCCATCCTCAGCAATTCCAGTAAGTAGAAATATTTTTAACTGGTAACTCTACTATATGTATCCAGTGGTAACTTGGATACAATATACAATATAACATGTTGCCTGATTAAAATTTATTATACACATTCTCTATTTCCAGGATTTGTTCTAATTAGTAGAATTGTGGATACTTTTGAAGACTTTGACTCTAATTTTCAATATTTATTCTTAAATTTAGAAAGAAGGAAAAATACCAGAAAATATATAATCTGAGTTTTGAAAATGCAACCATAAGTTATCACAACTAAATTAGTTTGTAGTTTGATTAAACTGAAATATTAGCTAATTTTTTGGTATATATATATATATATATATATATATATATATAAAACATTTTCTCTTTTTTTCTTCTGCTTCTTCCTCTTCTTTTCCTTTATTATTGATTGATTTATTTATTTTTTTGAGTTTTGGATCTTGCTATGTTGCCTAGGTTGTTTTGCACTCCAGATTTCAGGCAATCTTCCTGCCTCAGCTTCTTGACTAGCTGGAATTATAAGTATGTACTGCCACACCTGCGAGGTTTATTATTATTATTGTTGTTGTTGTTGTTATAACACTGTAGATTAAACCCTAGTGGTTTAGTACTGAGCTATATCCCTAGTCCTTTTTATTTTTTATTTTGGGACAGGGTCTGTGTAAGACGCTTAGAGCCTCGCCAGCGCTAAGTTGCTGCGGCTGGTTTAGAAATTGTCATCCTCCTCCCTCAGTCTCCTGAATCACTGAGATAACAGGCCTGAACCACTGTGTCTGTCCAGGTTCATCATCTTAAATCACCTTTAAGGGGAAGACCTTGACTTTTATAAAATATTGTTATAGCCAAATTTCATCTTAAGAGATGAGTGATTTGCTTTTGCTTGTTTGTTGTACCCTCATTTGGTTTTTGTTACTTTAATGACTTCTGAGAATATATTGATTAAATTGAAAACATAAAATTTATTGAATTAGTTCCCCAACTGAAAAATCATATACATTCTAGGAAAAATTCAAAATTAGAGAAATAGAGGGAATTTTTAAACAATCATTTATAATTCCATTATTGAAATGCAATTACTGGCAAAATCTTTTTTTGATGTATTTCTCAATAGTATCCTTTTCACAAATAGTGTTGTGTTTATATCGTTGTAATCATATTTTATTATAATGTGCGTGTATTGTCAATACTCTTTTGTCCTTTAATTTTAATGCATCAAGTGGATATTATATCGTTAGTTAATTTTTCTTCAATTAATGTACATTTTGTGAGCATTTTTAATGTTTTGGACCTGAAGTTTTTCAAATATTTTAAGATTATTTTGTTAAAGTTCTACAATTAGAAGTATTGGATCAAAAAATATGAACATTTTTGGGGGGGTTCTTGGTACATAATGTTGGGTTGTAATTTAAAATTTGGACTGATTTGGTGCCTTTTTCTCCTGTAGGTATACTTTGGATAATAATGTGCTGAGCCTGGATCAGAGAAAATTTTATGAAGAAAATGGATTTCTTGTTATTAAAAATCTAGTATCTGATGCTGATATTCAACACTTTAGGTGCAGCAATACTCTTGCTTATTTTACAAAAAATATGCATTATGGTAATTGTGTCATTTTCAGGAAAATGCATAGAATTTAGAACATCATGTTAAGCAAGTAAGGCCGACTCAGAGGGGTCGTTGTTTTCTCTACTGTGTGTAAACTAGAGAGACACAAGTAAAAAGAGGTTTCAAGAAAACAGAAGGGATTGGGCTGGGGATGTGGCTCAATCGGTAGCGCGCTTGCCTGGCATGCGTGCGGCCCGGGTTCGATTCTCAGCACCACATACAAAGATGTTGTGTTTGCCGAAAACTAAAAAAAATAAATAAATATTAAAAAATTCAAAAAAATATTAAAAAAAAAAAAAAAGAAAACAGAAGGGAGATCAATAGATACAAGAAAGATGTCCATGGGATGGAGGAAGGGAGGGAGAGGAGAGGTGCTGGGGAATGAAACTGACCAACTGATGCTCTGTGCAGGTATGAATATATCACATGAAATCCCAACATTATGTATCATTGTAATTCATACATAAAAATTTATAAATTATGTATTATATGTATGCAATGGGATTACAAATTAGATTAGCCTCTGCATGTTCAGATACTTTTGAGTGATGTGGTTTGTTGGGATATGTTTAGGAGCATGGGATCTGGAGGCAGACTTTCTGGCCTTAATCTCAGCTTAACATGGCGTGTCCCACATCGTCACCATAGTTTTCTATACATGTGTGTACTCCTCTGTAAAATGGTCATAGTAATAACACTGATATCCTAGCATTGTTGATAGGAGAGAAAAGGAAAAATATGTGGTATCAGGTAGGTGCTACAGGAGTAGAGTATTTGCTATTAAAGGCCAAGCATCACTTAACAGAAAATCAGTATCCAAACCATTGAGCACCGAGATGATGTCACAAGGGGGAAAATTCCACACCTGGCTCATATGATGGTCATGGTCACAACACAGACACACTAAAAATATTGTATAAAATTATCTTCAAGCTGTGTGTATGAGGTATAGAGGAGACACAGAGCCATTTTGTGATGACACATAGGTATCATCTTCCAGATATCTCATTATTATATTTTGTTATTAAGATTATTATTATTTTTAGTGCTTGGACTTGAATCCAGGAAGTTTCATCCCCATCCCTTTGTTCATTTTATTTTGAGACAGAGTCTTGCTAAATTGAATAGGCTGGCTTTAAATTTACTATCCTGTAGTCTCACCTCCTGAGTCTCTGGGATTACAGCATGCTCCACCACAATCAGCTCATTTTGTATATGTCAATATTCTAAGATCCAAAAATACCTGATGTTAGTTCTAAGTATTTGAGATAAGGGATATTCAGCCTGTATTATTACAATGGAATCAGAAAACTATGTCACCACTGGTATGTTAAGCAAAGCAATATTCTCGTTTTTTTTTTTTTTTTTTTTTTTTGGTGGTGCTGAGGATTGAACCTAGGGCCTTGTGCATGTGAGGCAAGCACTCTACCAACTGAGCTATATCCCCAGCCCCCCTTGCTTTTTTAATTCTTGCAGGAGGCCAGGAGGCCAGGACTTCTGAGTTGGCCATTTTCTCCTCCCTCTACTAGGCCTGAGGACTGACTTAGCAGACAGAAACTGTTCCTGAATCTGTAAATCTTTGCACAGGTCAGGGCCAACCAGAGGTATGGAGCAGAGGTCATGACGTTATTTGTAAATTTAATTTTCTAGGGTTGCATTTGAAAAGATCTGCAGCGAGGAGTCCAAACCAGCAGGACTCATGATAATAAGAGATGTGTCCTCTGTGGAATCAGAGAATATACCAAGTGAGGAAACAATTGCAAGGATTCAAGATTACCAGGAAGATAAGGAGCTCTTTAGATACTGCACTCTCCCAGAGGTTAGAGACTTGCTCTTGGTTTGGTTTCTCCTTCATAGACAGCTTGCAGGTCTGCCCCAAGATCCCCTGGTTGTGTGAATCTAACCCCTTCCTACACATGGAACACTAGAGTGGTGGGTCTCAGCTGGAGGTGATTTTGCCTCCCAGTGGATATTGACAATGTCTCAAGACTTTCCTGGTGATGGTAACCGCATAGTGGGTGCACTAGTGGCTTCTAGTGGGTAGGGACCAAGGATGCTGATAATGGGGCCTGAGATCCCCTGATGCACAGAGGAGCTCTCTCCCCAAGAATTATCCCAACCAAGATACCAATAGCACCAAGACTAAGAAACGCTTCTGTGAAGTGTGCTAATTATCTTTTTTTTGTGTGGGGGGGGGAGTCAGAAATTCTGAGTTAAATAGAAAGAGCGCTTCTAAGACTCAATATCAATAGGGGTGAAATTGTGAGGCTGTAATTTGTAAATGTATTGACTTTTTAATGTATTTCATAAATTGGGTCAGTTGAATGAATTGCTTTTAAACTTAATTTAGTTTTTATTTAATTTGATTTATTTGTGGTACTAAGAATTGAACTCTGGGGCACTATTTCTTTCAACTACACTCCCAACTCTTTTTACTCTTTGTTTTGAGAAAGGGTAATGCTGTGGTTGAGGCTAGCCTTGAACCTATGATTTTTCTGCTTCAGCCTCCCAATCTGCTGGGATAATAGCCATGAGTCACTAAGCCTTAAGTTAGTTATTTTTTTCTAAAAATTTATTCTTCTTTAATAGTAATTGATATATCTAAAAGTACCCAAGCAAATCAGAAGGGCACCACATAAGAAATAGTGTCTCTCTACTCAGCCCTTCTTGCTCTTGGTGCATTCTTCTGGAATTAGGTCCTGCATCCTCAAATGTGTTTGTTCACTCCCACCTTTTAGCACCGTGGTTTCCTAACCACTTGTTTAAAATGGTTTTGAAAGAGACTTTCCATATAGCAGATGCTGTCAGAGTGTTTGACTCCTGAAGACAGACTGCACAAGTAAATCACCTGTGGTATCCTGCCCAGCACTCAAGAGAGAAGGCCCAGGGGAAATGACCTACGACCATCTGTGCTTACCACCTCTGGTGCTGTGATGGGAATGGAAGTTTGCAGGTGGTCACAGATGAAGCCACAGGCAACTTGTGTTGGATGAAGCACTACCATCCATGATGTTCAGATTTTCTATTTTCCTTTCTTCTCATGAGACTAGGGCTCTATGGGTATAGGGGGCTGCTTTTTTTTGGCCAATCTTGGTCCCTGTACTGGCCATTATTCTGCCTTGTTCATTAACCTCAGGGAAGAGATTCAGGGAATGGCCAGACTTATTGGATTATACTCCATGCTTTCTCAGAGAAGTTCCATTTAATTTGTAGTGTTGGAAATTCAACACTATATTTCATGATTGTGAAATACCAATTGGTATTTAAATTGTTGCCATTTGGGTTCTTGTGTGGACACTTTATGCCTCTTGCCTATACTTCTGATTTCCAATGAGATTGTTCTTCTTTCTTCTCCCTTTTCTCAGATTCTGAAGTATGTGGAGTGCTTCACTGGACCCAATGTCATGGCCATGCACACAATGCTGATAAACAAACCTCCAGATACGGGTAAAGGGCTCTTATTGTTAAAGAGAATCAAGAAAAAAAAAGATTCTTTAATTAAAACATGTAGAGTTGTTGTTCTAGATCTGGTCATGTGTGTAACTGTCAAACTTTGGGTGAGTGAATGTGGGTGCTTTTGTTTAAGACTTAAAATAGCTCATGTTATATCAACTTTGAAGTGTAATACTGATTTCAGATGTTGATTATAGGGTTTTGCTAAATTTTCAGATGACTGGCTCCCTGGAAAAGTAGGTTGAGAAACATGACTATTATTATGTCATAGACTCCCTCTATTCAACATCTGTGATCTTCACCAACCATTCTTAGCCAGGATCACATGGATTCTGCACTCCTGATCTGAAGACATCATTTTTACTAACAGGATGAAAGCTATTACTACAAGTCACACTCAAGTGCTCGTGGTGCCTTGTGCTTGCCAAAACCTAGATTCTAAGTCCTCATGGAGACACTGATTCTGAAGTAGATCCCAGATGTCTGCATTTTAATACCCATGCCCAGAGATTCCACTGCAGGTGACTCTTGGACCACACTCAGAGATTTTTCTGTACCAAGCAGCAGAAATCAGTCAAGAGGGCTGTAACCTTTTCTACTTTTTCTTCCTTTTGACAGCTGGGAGAGGTTTATTTGATAAGACTGAAGCACAGTGTTTTCCTCCATGGATGTTCTGCCTGTTTCGAGGAGATTTGGGGGAAACCAAATTCTAAAATCAAAGCTGGGGAAAATGTTTGTATGGTCAGTGGTTTTGACTGGTCAATAACTATACAGAGGATGCCGATTGCTCTGTGAATTAAGACCTCTAAGAAAACTGTTTGTGGTATTAGCCACTTAGAAGGGAACCTCAAATTTGAATCAGTAACATTCTCTTTAATTTACTTCATTCGGCTTTTTAAATTTTTTAAAAATCCTTTTGTATGCTAGCTCTGTGCGAAATCCAGAGTGACGAAGAAATAAAGCAAAGCAGAGATGATGGAGTATATGCAACTTTCTAGAAAAGAATGTAAGCACCCAGCCACCAGTAACTCAGAAGAAAAGGCTTCATGTAGACTCAATATTTCACTTTAGTGCTGGTCTATTGGGAATGATTTTCCACAGTATTTTTATTTTTTAATTTTTTTTTTTGCAGGGGAAGCTAATGTGTTGTTTATTCTGGCATAGGATAAGAATTGTGAGGTTTAAGCCCCTTTTGACAGCAGGCTCATTTCAGGCAGGAAGACTTCCCGGCACCCCTTGCACCAGGATCTGCACTTTTTCCCCTTCAGGCCCAGCAATCGCATTGTGTGTGCTTGGACCGCCATGGAGCACATTGACGGGAACAACGGCTGTCTGGCTGTCCTCCCAGGCACCCACAAACTTCCCCTGAAGCCACATGACTACCCCCAGTGGGAGGTAGGTCTGTCTGACCACTGAGTCTGGATCAGAATCTCTTTCACTGTTGTTATTTCACATCAGGTGCAAAAAGCTTAGAAATGAGACTGCTTTCCTTTCTCAGCAAAGCACTGTCCTGAAATTTGCAATTAGGATCAGGGGGAGTTCAAGGACATCACATAAAGTATTCATTTGATTTGTTCTTTCAACATGGGCTTGAAAGCCAGCCAGTGTGGAGACTTGGGTAGGAGCTGCCTAGGATCTGAGATGGCGAGGCTTGATGGCAGAGGTCAGGCATCAATCCTTCAACTCTGGTGTGTGTGAAGTGCCAGCTGACTGAGGCTCTCAGAGTAGAAGAAGGGAGGGAGGGATTATCTCCGTGCACCTGTGAAGACTAGAAAAAATGCTCAGGGGTGGGAGGTGGTGATTGAGCTGAGCCTTAAAGGTCAAGGTAGAATTTCCTATCACAAAAAATCTCCTTGGAGGCATCAGGGTCAAGGGCAAGTGGAACCTGGCTAATGAACATGAAATATGGAAGGCATTCTCAGATCAGATGGGCTGGGGGCTGAGGCACATTTTGGAGAGTAGAAGGGGAAGAGAACCTGAGAAGGTCTTTCAGGACCCATTCAAAATGACTTTCACACCTGTAGGTTACATGGAGAGAATGGGGTCCTTTCCTTTTTAGGAAGCTGGAAGAGTTTTTATTTCTAACGAAAGTGTTTTTGAGGTGTAAGTATCATATAATAGTACATATTTTCAATGTATAATTTGATCATTTTGACACACACACACACACACACACATACACACCTGGCACCACAATGAAGAGAATATTTTCCACCTCCTCCCCAGGCAACCACTCAGCTGATTTCTGTTCCTATAGATTAGTTTGCATTTTATAAAATGTCATATAGATATAATCATGTGGCATACACTTTTTTTTTTGGAGTGGTTGCTGTTGCTCTGCATATTTACTTTGAGGTTCAACAAAGCTGACAGTCTCAATAGCTTGTTCCTTTCCGTTCAGTGGCATGGCTGAACAATGGTTGGTTTATCCATTCAAATGTTGGTGCTGGGGAGCTACTATGTGCTTCTGCACCCATGAATGGCAAGGTCCTATCCATTCTTCAAGAATATGATCTCAGGTCTGGGGCAAAATTGATTCCCAGGAGGTGTAGGAGCTCAGAGGCAGCAAAACCAGAGAGCAGATCTCAGCCTTTTTGATGCCAGACCAGAAGATCCTGAAATCCCTGATGATGGTCAGAATGGAAAGGGCAGCTGTGGTGAGCAAGGAGACTGAGTCTTGCTTCTGTCGGATGTGAAGGCTGTGGCTTCAAGGGCTTTTCTCTCCGAATTCTTGCACTACGGATTGTTATCTGTGGAAATATTTGAGTCTGAATCCTGATATAAAAGTGGAAATGGTGAAATTCATCAGTTAAGTTCAGGGACAGGCAAGGGTTGGTGCAATCCTAAGGAGGCTTATTGAGCAGAAGGGAATGGTGTCCAGGGCTATGGGAGTAGACTGGTGTCTGAGAAGCTGCTGAGATTCACAGCAGTGGCAGTGGAAGGTCTGCTTAGCTTAGCAGGGACCAATATGCACCTTGGCCAGGAAAGAAGGACACAGAGTCAAAGTCACAATATTGTGCAGTAGGACAATGATTATTCCCCATTGGAATGGGACACTTCTGCCCAGATGCATAAAGGCTCATCAACTGTAGTCACTACTCACTTTAATTTGTATAATAAGGACATACATACACATTTCCTGGAGTTAAGACTACTTTTGGAAATAGTTATCAAAAAATACAGTGTTTAAACTTACTATTGTCTTTTTATTCTGAATATGACATAAGTCCTTTGAACTTAGAAAAATTGAGCATGTTCTGTACTTGGTTTGGGGAGAATAATTAGCCTATTCAAGATACCCTGAGTAATACAAGATGGATGTGAACAAAATTCTAGGTGAGGAGAATGTCAGGCTGGGGCAAGGATGTGAAGATTGAGGCTGTAAATGCCTAAGAGAAAGGTGTTCACCTGCATTCACCACAAGAGGCAGAACTGATCTAGATTGTTTATAATTCAATTAGGAAGGGTAGGTGAAGTTCCAATTTGGTTCATTTGTTAAAAATGATTTTAATATAAAAAACAATGAATTTAATATATGTGACTTTAATTTGTTGCATTGCTGGGGTTCAAACCCAGGGCCTTGCACATGCTAGGCAAGCCCTCCACCTCTGAGCTACATCTCTAGCCCTTTGTACAAATCTTAATTTAAGAGAAAGTCTGGCTAAGTTTGCTAGTCTGCCCTGAACTTATGATGCCTGGCCTCAGCCTCCCAAGTAGCTGGGATCACAGGTGTGTACCACTGTATCTGCAGCAGATTATGTTTAAAAACCCAGAAATATGACAGACTTTTGCATTTTTTATATTTAATAATTTAATTTAGATAAGTCTTTCTCTTATAAGAAGTCAGAGAACTCTTGCTGTCCCTGCCAAGTCATATACAAAGTGTTCATTTTGGTGCTTCCTCCAGACTTTGCCTATCTTATGTGTTTCAGGGTGGAGTTAACATTTTCTACCATGGGATCCAGAACTATGACCAGGACCATGCCCGAGTGCACCTTGTGATGGAGAAGGGAGACACCGTTTTCTTCCACCCATTGCTCATCCATGGATCTGGTCGGAATCAAACTCAAGGATTCCGGAAAGTATGCATCCATGTTGCTTCAGTTTTGAAAGATGAATGGGTTCAAAACAGAAAATCATTAGTATATTAACACATAAAAGATTTATGACTTTTCACTAAACTGGACTGTTTTTTTCCAGTTTGTTAACCAGGAAGTATGTTTGCCTTCCTTGTACTTTTTTTTTCTCTACTTAGTCAGAAGCCAGGTACACTCAGGATCCTAAACCTGTTACTATTGAATCTTGGTCATTTGTGGAACTGCTTCAGAGCAGTAGCTCACCTTTCAGTGCACAGTTTCTGCTTTCTTAAGCTAAAACAATGACTAAAATACTCAAATAATCACATTTGGGATTTATATTGCTCAGGGTAACTAGAACAAGAAGCAAATTTAGAATATCCTTATTATTATAGAATATCCTTACTAACTAGGAAAAACAATATTGATCCTAAGCAAAGGTTCTGAATTGTCAGCACATATTTATCCCCCTCTAATCTCAGTGTTTTAAATTAAATAATTTTGTCACTGACATTTAAAAATTGACAGAATTCCTTACAATTTCCCTGATTTCTCACTTGTCTCAAATTCAGCAGATCTTAGAGTATTGTGGGCTCACTTTCCCCATAGTAACAAGGTTGTCCATAATATTAAGGCTCCTTTAAGATTCAGTGGGGTTTCTAGTTTGTCCCCTGGTTCCCACTGATCCCTGTTCTAACCCCAAGTATAGGGTTGCAGACTTTATTCGTTTATATTTGCATCAGGCTCACTAGGGCCTGGTACAAGTTGATACCAGTTGGGGCAGTCCTGAGGATAAAATTGAAGGGGCTACCAAAATCTCAGCCATCAAGTTAAATGCTGTTTTACTAAATCAAAATTAATGCAAAAAAAATCCATGCTGTGTACAATGTCAAAAATTTAAATAAAAGACAGGAAGTACCCGCACTAGCATAACCCTCAGGCCATGTTAAGTATGGAAGTGCAAGCACAAAGATGCAAATAGTGATGTGATTTGTAATATATTCACTTTGCAATATTTCCACATTTTCACTGATTTTAATGTTTTGGAAGAACATTTACAATTATTTCCTAACAACATGGGTGTAGAAGTACACAATTTTCCTTATGCCTTGTGTCTTGATGTGGCTTTGTCTGGCACAGGGTCTGCACAGAAAATAGAGTTTAAAGAAAACTTTAGATGCTTAGAAATGTGAAGATCTGTACTTAGATAATTATGCCGCCTGTCCTATATATATATCTTTAAAAAATAAATAATTAGGTAAAAGACTCTTTAGTCATTTCTTAATTAGCCTTTCGGTGGGAGAGCAAGAGGGAGAGGCTCACCTAGAAAGTGACAGATTTAGGATGCCATGGAGGGCCTGGTAGTTGACTAGTCAAATCCTGGGCAGAAGAATGGACTCCCTGAAAGGAGAACTCCTCCTAGCTTGGTTGTTGGCATTCATAGCATACTTTTCTCCATTATCAATTGTTCACTGTGCACAGGCAATTTCCTGCCATTTTGCCAGTTCTGATTGCCACTACATCGATGTGAAGGATACCAGTCAAGAACACATTGAGAAAGAAGCTGTGGGAATAGTAGATAAATTCTACGGAAGTGACAGTGGCTTAGACTTGAAGGTACACTTGCATGAAATAACCAAGTAAAATGTCTGAAGTTTCTTGTCTTTACATGCTTAATTAATCCCTAATTTAATTTGAAATGAAGGATATGGGAATTCTGAATGCATAGGAACAAACATAAAGGTTTGGGACTTCAATCAGGCCTCCCTTCTTGGTAAGGAATATTTTCATTAGGCAATCCTGTAAGACTTCAGGGAGCAATTCTGGAGTAGTGTTGCTTTTGGTAAATTTGCATCTAGAGCAGAGTTGGAGTAATGCTTATGGATGAAGGGCATTAGACAGCGTTTCATGTGCTTTCCTAATTGATACACATCACTTGGAAAGTATTTGTTTCTAAGTAGTGGACATTCAATGCCGCTAAAGAGCAATAGATAAATTAGCAGTCAAAGCCAAAAAAAAAAAAAAAAAAACTTCACTTTATAGAAAACACATAGTTTAGGTTCTGAACTAAGAAGGTATTCCTATTTTACTTTATTTGTATGAGATAATGATAGTATGGGCATGTACTATCAAGAGACTAAGTGTGATGATAACTCTAGTCCATCCAGGAATCTGTAGGTCAGTGCACACCAGTGGGATGCTATAGTGCCATTGGGAACCTTCAGAACAGCTTTCCAGGGTGGAGAATCTTGCTTCTCTCTTTAGAATCTACAAATGTGTCCCTTGTCTGAAAATGATTGGGGATTCAACCAACTGAAATTTGTAAAAATATTCAGAATATTAAACAGTATTTGAAAAAAATCGCATCTGTACTAAACATATATAGACATTTTAAAAATCATTATTTCCTGTATAATACAGCCTAACAACTACCTCATGTTTCTATTGCACCAGGTGCTTTAAGTAATCTAGGGGTGATTTAAAATATATGGGAGGATGAACAGAGGTTATTTTATTGCAGGGACATGAGTACCCATGGATTTTGGTAGCTGAGGGGTCCTGGAATGTACATTACATTTGAAGTTTGTGAAGGTTGTCTAGAATGAACACCACCCATATTTTAGGTATCTCACCAGTTAGAACTTATTGGATATATTTAGAATAGAAATAGAATAATAGAATAACAATACCAACTCATATAATTCTAACTTATAAAAACACTCCCATGGGCCTGGAATGTGGCTCAGTGGTAGAGTGCTCACCTAGTACGTTCGAGGCACTGGTTCAATACTCAGCACCACATACAAATAAATAAATAAATAAATAAATAAAGGTATTGTGTCCAACTAAAAATAAAAAAATGTATATTTAAAAAAACTAAAACTAAAATGCTTCCATGTCCCATTTCTGATTTCCTTCACCAGAATGCAGTGAACAATCTGTAATGCACCTGCTGTAAAGGACAAATTGAAGACCCAGAGACTGGACTAAGTAACAGAGCTAGATTTCAAAGTCAGGCCTAATTCTGAAATCATTCTTTCCACAATACCTTGCTGTCTGCTCAACCAGAAACAAGAAACAAGAAATTAGAAGGTCTCAATTGCTTTATTAATAATTGCAGCAGGGTGCGTTGTGACACATGCCTGTAATCCCAGCTACTTCACAGCTTGGCTGAGGCAGGAGGATTGCAAGTGAGGCCAGCCTCAACAACTTAGTGAGCCTCTGTCTCAAAATGGAAAATAAAAAGCCTGGGGATATAGATCAGTGGAGAGTGGCCCTGGGTTCTATCTCCAGTACCCCCCTCCCCATACCAAGTAAGCCAGTATACACCGTACCATATTCACTTCTACGATCTCATCAGAGTTGCAACCTCAAAGTGGTTCAGGCAAGTAATAAAAAGACAAGCTGAGAGAAGGGTTGTGAGCTACTGTGACTGAGCATCACAGCCACCCTCCTGGTGTATAACCTGTGATCAGCGAGGCCGACAGCTTGGGGATCCACTGACTCCATGCAATTGGCATTGTTTTAATTGTTGGCAATAGAATTAATTGCAGTTTCAAAGCTTGTTTATTTATTAATCAATATAAGAATCATAGCATTGTTTTCCTAGTTAAGCATTTGTAGAGCCTAGAAATCTTTGTGGGGAATAGGCCAATGGATGTGTTCCACACACTCATTCTGTTGGTATTATTTCCAGGATATTTGGATGTTTCGAGGCCGACTTGTGAAAGGAAAAAGAATCACCCTTTGAACTAGTCCTTGATTATAACTCTTTCAAAGGAGATCAAAGAAACAAGGAGTCTAAGGAAAATGTTTTCATATGGGATGATGTAAGATGATGTAATGTTTTCTATCACTTGGTATCAAAATCAAGACACATGGATTGGGAACTTCATTTTGCAGAGTTAATTTTGCAGTGCAGTGATGTTATTTTAGTGGAAGTAAGAACAGTAAAATGAAATATAACTATTTTCAGAAAGACTGTTTTGGGATTACAACCAATAAATGTAGCACATGATTTAAGTATGTTCAATCAGTTCCTCTTGTTGAATTAGCTGTTTATCCCTGCAGAAATGAATTCCCTGAAACTCAGTGTGCACTGAGATGAGCATGCCTCTCCTAGTAAAGCCAACACTTCCCCATTTAATGTCATGAGAGATTTCCAAACTAGAACCATGTGTAGTACATTCACATTTGGTGAAGGGCGTACCAAGGCCATCATGGGATTAAAATAAGGTGGGTCCTCATTCTCTGACCCAGGCTTCCTTCCAGGACTTCTCCAATCCAGCTACTCTCTTTCAAAACCAGAATATTTTTTCAAAAAATATCCTTTGTTTCTAAAGAATGTAGACAAGGGCACCTTCCCAGATATTTCCTGTTAAGCAGGGCAACTGAAAGTCTTCAGAATTTATGAATGAAACCTAAGCTTTTTTTGAGGACCAGAAACATACTCTAGGCTGAATTGGGAGTGAGCTTGGACTGGGGATTTATTTTAATATATCACTGTATTTCTATACCAGTTGAGGAGTGCAACCACTCTGGAAAGAAGTATGGAGAGTCCTCAAGAAAACTAGGAACCATTGGAGCCAGTTATCCCACTCCTTGGTATATATCCAAAAGTTTTTAAATCAGCATACTATAGTAATATAGCCACATCAATGTTTATAGCAGCACAATTCATAATATCTAGGCTATGGAACGAAACTAGGTGCCCTTCAACAAATGAAGGGATAAAGAAATTGTGGCATATATGCACAATGGAATATTATTTAGCTATAAAGAAGAAGACTTTATGACCTTCATTTGTAAATGGGTGGATCTGGAGACTATCATGCTTAGTGAATTAAGTAAAATCTCCCTAAAGCCAAAGATTGATATTCTCTGATACATGGATGCTAACCTACAACAAGTTGTGAGGGAATAGAAATTCAGTGGTTTTAGACACAGGGGAATGAAGGGCGGGAGATAGGAATAGGAAAGACAGAGGAATTCTTCTGACATAACTTTTTTATGTCTATGCATGAACACACCAGAGTGAATCTCAACATTGTGTACATCCACAAGACTGGGATCCTGACTAGAATAAGGTATATCATATTTGTATAAATATAACAAAATAGATTCTACTGTCATTTATTACTAAAGAGAACATTAAAAAATTCTCTTAAAGACAAAAACATGGTTCTTATTTTTAAAAATTATATTTATGGCTTGATTAAGAATAAAACAGCCAGTTCCTTTCTTGTTATTCTGCTGAGCAGAGGTTTTCCTAAGGCTTGTGTTACCATGTTTGTTAGTTTCTTAGCCCCTGCTGGAAAGGAGAGAAGGCAAGAGAATCATGAAAGGGCCTAAAGAAAGGATTCCTAGAAGGATGGGAACTAAAAGGTAAATAAGGAATGCCAGTGTAAACAGCATGCAGGAAGCAGGGCTTGTATCTAGAATGAACCTCCAACTAGTTTCAACCTGAATTTCTTTCCCTGCCTGGGCCTCCCAAGATGCTGTGATTACAGGTGTGCTCCCCTGAGCCCTGCTCCAATCCAACGAGGAAAACCAGATTCCAGGGAAAACAGCACAGTTAGTCCCCAATGCATCTGTGAGTGAAAGCCAACTCTTCTGTCAGGAACATGCACTTCTCATCTCATCTGTGTCCCTTCTGTCCCTTAGTTCACATATGAATCTGCAGGCGCCCACTCTGTAGTGGGAGGGGAATGACAGCAGGATGACTAGGGCTGCTTTTCACCCGTGTGCACCCTCCTTGGGAAGGATGGGAGCAAACCCCTGGTGGAACATGAAGAGATGGGACAAAACACCTTGGCAGAATGAGAAGCCTGGCTGCTCAGTGAGACGGGTTGTGTCCTGGGCTGTTCATTCATCAGACAGTAATCCAACAGTTGATACTCAATGTGCAAAATAAAACTAGAACCTTCTTCTAAGGAATTTGGGACTCAGAGTTGTGAAAAGTCAGAGGCCTTTGCTCACTTGTATGTACTTGGACTCCCCTTTGTTTCCTGTGTTCTTTTTAATATATAGTTGGGATAAAAAAATTGGGATAAAAATAACTGGGATGAAATATATATTTAACAGCCAAGTGCAATGGCACATGCCTGTAATCCCAGCGGCTCAGGAGGCTGAGGCAGGAGGACTACAAGCTCAAAGCCAGCTTCAGAAAAAGCGAGGTGCTAAGCAACTCAGTGAGACTGTGTCTCTAAATAAAATACAAAACAGGGCTGGGAATGTGGCTCAGTGGTCGAGTGCCCCTGACCCCTGAGTTTAATCCCAGGTACCTCTGAGATATATATCTATATCTATCTATCTATCTATAAAATACAATTAGTCATGTTAGCCTTTATTTGTTGTTTTCTTTTTTCTTACTGGGGATTGAACTCAGGGGTATTCTGCTACTAAGCTACATCCCCATCCTTTTGTTTTTTTTTTTAGTTTGAGACAGGGTTTTAGTCAGCTTTTTCACTGCTGTGACCAAAAGACATGATAAGAACAATTAGAGGTGGAGAAGTTTATTTGGGGCTCAAGGTTTCAGAGATCTCAGTCCCTAGATGGCAGACTCCATTGATCTGGGTCCAAGGTGAGTCAGAACCTCATGGTGGAAGGCTGTGCTAGATTAAAGCAGCTCAGGACATGATATCAGGAAGCAGAGAGAGACTTTTGCTGCACATGGATAACATGTATACCCCAAAGGCACACCGCCCCCCCAATGACCCTCCTCTTTCAGCCACATCCTACCTACCTATAGGTTCCACCCAGTTTATTCTATCAGGGCATTAATGCACTGATTAGGTTAAAATTCTTATGCCCTAATCATTTCACCTCTAAACTTTCTGGCATTGTCTCAAATTGAGTTTTTGGGTGACACCCCGATATCTGAACCTTAAGTTCTTGTTAAATTTCCCAGGATGCCCTGGAACTTGCAGTTCTGCCTCTGCCTCCCCAGTCACTGGGATTACAGCATGTGCTCCCATGCCTGGCCATCTTAGCCATTTTTCAGAGTGTAGATCAGTGGCATTGTGGACATTCACATTGTTTTGCAGCCATCAGCACCATCCATCCACAGAACACTTTCCATCATACCAAACTGACACATCATCCTCAGTAAACACTAACTCATCTTTCCCCTTCCTTCATACCTGGCCCACCACACTCTGCATTCTGTCTCTGTGAATTTGGTTACTTTAGGGACACTCAGGTGAGTGGAATCACAAAGTATTTTTCTTTTCCTTACAGGATTATTTTGTTTAGCATCATGTCCCCAAGGTTCTTCCATGCTGTGGCATGTGTCAGAATGTCCTTCCTTTTTAAGATGGAATGATACTGCATTGAGGGGCTGGGGCAGTAGCTCAGCAGCAGAGGGCTTGCCTAGCATGCATGAGGCACTGGGTTCAATTTTCAGCACCACATAAAAATAAACAAAATAAAGGCATTATGTTCATCTACAACTGAAAAAAAAATTTAAAAAATAACGCTCCATTGTATGTCTATATCGTGTTCTGCTCATTCTCCTGTCTATTGCAGATTGCTTTCCAATTTCAGTGATTCTGAACAATGCAACTGTGAACATGAATGTACACATGTCTCTTTGAGAACATGCTTTCCATTCTTTTATTATATTTTGAACCTTCAATTCCAGAAGTGGAATTGCTGGATCCTCTGGGAGTTCTATTGTTAATTTGTGAGGAGTCACCATACTGTTTTGTCCAGTGTCTGCAACATTTTACATTCCCATCAGTAGTGAAGGAGGTTTCCAATGTCTCCACATCTTTGCAGCCACTGGTGACTTTTTATTTATTTGTTTATAGAAGCCATCTTACCCAACCCTGATGTCTACCCCTGAATTACATTTCCAGACCCTCTCCTTTAAAAAAAAAAATTTTTTTTTGAGTCAGGGTCTAAGTTGTCCAGATCATCCTTGAACTTTTCATGCTCCTTCCTCAACCTCCCAGGGAACCTGGATCAGAGGCCTTCAAGGGCATGTCCAGCAGTAGCCATCTTCCTGGGTATGAGATGGTGTTCCTTCTGATACATTTGACCAAAATAAAATCTTTAGCCCACACTTCTATGGACAATGGATAGCTAAACATGACTCAGTTATGGAACCTGTTTGGGGCACGTTTAGATTGAAGCCTGGAGGGCTGGACAGGCCTACGGCTGACCTGGTGATATGAACTGGGAGACAATATAATATAAAGCTGCCTTTCATGTTTGTGAGGGCAACAGGTGGGACAAAGCAGGCAGGGTTTTGTTTCTCTAAAGGGGAATGCCTTGTGAATAAAACCTGGAACAAAGATTCTACTGTGATTATATCACACTATGACTTTTAAAGAAAAAATTTTTCTTAGTTTTAGTTGGACAGAATACCTTTATTTTGTGTATTTAATTTTATGTGGTGCTGAGGATCGAACCCAGTGCCATTCGTGTGCTAGGTGAGTGCTCTACCACTGAGTCATCACCCCAGCCCTGTATTCTTATTTTTTATTTGCCAGTGTGGGGGATCCCACTCAGGGCCTGGAGCTAGGCAGCTGTTCTGCCACTGAGTTACATTCCCAGCTCCCTCCCCCATTTTTTGTGAGAAGGTCTCACTAAGTTGCTCAGGATGGCCTCAAATTTTCAATCCTCCTACCTCAGCTTCCTGAGTAGCAGGGATTTCAGGTGTATGCCATACCCGACACAATCTACAACTCTAGTTTGTTCAAATTGTTCCAGCTTTGGCCATTAGAAGCTGTTGCTGTTGCTTCCTGGGTCTCTTTGACATACAGACCCTCACCTGTGTAGGTTTTTGCTTTGTTCTTAATTATTAGCACTGCCTACTTTCAGCCACCAGGGGATGCTCCAGGCTCACCTGCATCTTTCCTGTCCTGTGCAGTGATCAACCCCTTCTACCAGATGAAGCTTTCCTTCAACTGTACAGGTAAAAATGTAGGCATCTGGGAAGAAAAAGAAGACTTACTCAGGGATTCTCACTAAGATCAAGTCACAAATACATTGCTTTTTAACCTGAGTTAAATAATAGAAATTCAACATAAATAACTCATATTTATAGAATTTACTTATCAATGTAGGCTCCTTGGTTCCAAGAGGGATTTGAGGTGTTTTCTGATGTTACCATTGTGCATAGGAGAACTTGTCATTTCCTGAATGTGGGGTGAGGCAGGGGCCATGGCCTCCCTTGGTTCCTCTGCTTCCCTCGCCTCCCCCACCTGCTCTTGCACATCAGAGTTGTGGGGACAAGAGCGCCTCAGTCCTCCAGGAGAATGTGAGGTTTCTAAGGGGCCTGTTCTTCCTCCAGCAGACATGACCTGCAAGTCTTTGTTGATTTTTCTAGTTGAAGAATGTGCCAGAAGTCCTTGAAAGTAGAGTTCTGGATACTGTCCTCGCAATAAGTCATGTTCTCCAGAGGACCACGGCTCTCATAGATTTAATTTCACAGCCAAAAGCTCAGTGAAACTTTTTTTTTTTTTTTGATGCTAGGCTTTATGCACACTGGAAAGCACTCTGCCACTAAGCAACACTCCCAGCCCCTGAAATTTGCTTGGAGGGCTCTTTTCTCACCTGGATGGCAGGCATCTTAATTGGAGGAACAGCATCTTTCTTACTTACCTTTGTAATTCCTGTTGTTGTTTTTTTTTTTTTTTTTTTTTTTTGTACTGAGGATTAAACTGAGCTCTACCACTGAGCTGCATCACCAGTCCTTTTTTAATTTTTATTTGGAGACAGGTTCTCACTAAGTTGCCCAGGCTCAGATCAAACTTGCAATCCTCCTTCCTGGGCCTCTGGATCTCTGGGATGACAGATGTGTGCCACCACACCCTGCTCATGGAGTACTTCTCTGATCATGAGATTTCTTTCAAGTGTCTAAATGGCCAGGTGCAGTTGGATCAAACCACTAACTTGATGATTGGAACTAACTCACATTACCTTTTGGTGCCTCAGTCAACTCTGTATGCTGCAGTGATTGGGCATTGAGAAGTGGCAATGCCTGTAATCCCAGTGACTTGGGAGTCTGAGGCAGGAAAGTCGCCAAGTTGAGGCCAGCAGGGCAAATTAGTTTGATATTTCAAAAGGGATGGGGTTATAGTTCAGGGGGAGAGCACTTTCGTAGTATGCTTGAGAACCTCTGTTTCATCCCAGTCAGTCAAGGAAAAGCAACAAGAAAACGCAAACATTTATATAGAGCTTAGTGATGGGCACTGGGCCCAGGGTCTTATGCATGCACCCCAACATGGAGCTATATCTGGAGCTGGTGGCATAATCCTATTTCCACTGATCAGGAAAGCTGGTCACCTTCATAGTAAAGGTTTTGATTTCTTATTTGGAGAGAGGGGAAATGAATTCATATTTGCATTTTTAATTTTTCTTTTCCTAGCAGTCTGCCCTTTATACCAGGTGAGGACAGTAAGGGAACACTTATTTGTCTGTACCCAGTGGGATAAGGGCTGAAGCAAAACCATGCAGGATCCTGAGTCCCCTAGAGGACAGTGTCTTTAGGTTAAATGCTGACAGACATAAGCATGTCTCCTTAGAACAATCAGCAACCTCAATGGACTAGTTCAGGGTCAGATACCCTCGTGATGATTAACTAAGCCATATGAAGTTGAACCTAGTAGAGAAACCAGGAGGTCCAAGTGTCAGGTAGTAGTTAGTAAAGAGCAGTGAAATTTGAGCCAATAACACAGCAGGATCCTGGGATTTTTTTGATTTTTTTTTTCACAACAATCAGGTAATTTGCAGAACAACAGGTGCACTAACCCTGAGAATAAGCAGATGGAAATGAATTGAGTCTATTAAGAAATACTGTCAAGAAAGAGATCACCCAGGCTAATTCCTGGCATCATCTACTGAGGTCATTGTAAAGTTAGTATTTGTGACCATAGGTTTCTCAATGTATTTCTAAGGGAAATTTCATTAATAGCACAGATGCACTAAGATGAAGTCTGCTCTCACTGACCCCAGCACCTGCATTAAGATAGGATTGACTTGTGGATGCAGCCCCCCTGAATAGGATGGTCACCATGACAGTTCCAGAGAGGACCCACTAGGGTCAAAAACTCCTCCAGCAGGTGGGAAGGGGCAGACCAGCATCTGATTGGTAAAGACTGTAGGAGGAGGAACCCACTTCTCCTGGTAAACAGCAAAGAGCATTCAAGTTGGGAGCAGCACTGGTTCCTTTGCCCTTCTCTGCTGGAGTCCACCCACTCTCTCTCTCAGCTCTCTGCAGAGCCCTACTGTGCTCTCACTCCTACAAGAAAATTCTCTTGCTTGGCTTTTCCTGTCTGACTTTAGATTATCCTCTATGAGGACACCAGACCTGAGGTTGGAGCTTGAGCTCCCTACTCTCCTGTGACACTGGGTCCTTCTGTGAGCAGGACTCTGGATTCTGGGACAACAGGTAAAGAATGTCATGGGAAAGGCATAAAGAAACCAAAGGTGAAGGCCAAAGGGCAGACCATGACCTAGTGCCTGATGTTCCTTCTGGGAAAATAGGAAGTAGCTGTTGGTCTGAGGGCCTGTCTCCTGCACTATGGCACTCTCTCCAAATTACACAAAGTCTCTGAGTCGGTACTGGACACTATAATGCTAAATGACTCAGAAAGTCAAAGGTAGTCTAAAATGAAAGAGAGGGGCGAGAGAGACAGACAGATAGAGACAGATACAAATACAGAGAGAGAGAGACAGAAAGATAGACAGACAGATGGAGACACAGGGAAAAAAAAGGGTGGGGGAATTCCATCAAAATTAAAGCAAGAGCAGGGAGCAGAAGAAGGGGATTGAGAGAATGGGATAGGGGAAAAGAGTGAAATGAATCTGACTTAAGTTTCCAAAGTACATACATGAACATACTACAATGAATCTCACCTTTCTATATAACTGCAAAACCTTAACTTAAAAAAAAAAAAAAGAAAAAAAGAAGAAGAAAAGAAAAAAAAAGTAAATAATCAGGAGGATCAGTAGAGGAGTGGAAAGGGAACAGTGGGAGGGAAGAGGGGAAGGGTACAGGTAAATACTGAGGACTTGATTGGAGTAAATTATTTCATACATTTATAGTTATGTCAAAATGAAGTTGAATGTATGTATAACTATTATGAAACAATAAAACAAAGACAGTATTTAAGAACTGACAACATGGAGCAACATTCTGAAAGTAACTCCTTGCTAAAGAAACAATGAAAATTGAGGGGGTGACAGGAGTAAACATCAAGGATGAATAAACAACATGAATCAGCAAAAGGATTTGTTTTGGACTTGTTTTGGACTTTGCAGTGACTAAGTGACTTTTTAGTTGTAAACATGTTTTGGTTATAGGATGACTAGATAGTATGTCCATGTTAGATAAGTTGATGATGTAACTAGGTAGTGTGCTTATGTTAGATAAGTTAGACATAAACAAGTTTGTTGTAAACATATAGAGTATATAAGCGCGAGGGAAACTCCATGTATTTGCTCACAATCAACTCTCATCGCCTGAGAGTAAGATCGTGCAGTGTGAGTCAGCCACCTCGTGTATTGCTTTGTGTGGTGTGTGAATAAACCAGCATTTCAAAAGGCAATCGAGTTCGTGCTTGGTGTTCGCGTACGTCGCGGTCTGGGGTCCAGTGCAGATATCCGGAAGGGAACTCCTGGTAACCAGACAAGGCTGAGAAGTTGCTCGTGACAGTTGGCGTAGTCGGCAGGATACGGAAGAAGAGCTCCGGAGCAGGTAAATATAACCCACATGGCAATGCACAATTTCTTCTACTGAAAACCTAGAATGACCGTGATCGTCCGGCGTCTAAGCTGAAGGTGGAATGAAAGGGGAGTGCCCCCACCAAAATCCTTAGGAGGACGATGGTCCCTGTGCATGGGGTGGCTTAAGGAAAGGATAGAAAATTGGGCACTATATAGCTGACATCAGGGAATAAGTCAGATACCTTATAAGATAGAAACAAACGGGTTTATTGCTTGGAAAATTCATATAGCTAAACTGAGGATCCTCTTAAAAATAACAACATGGGCTTCAAGGAAGTAATAAAAAGATTTAGGCAGAAATATAAAATAGGAGAACTAAAGCTCGAACAAAAGGAATTAAAATCTCAATCGCCATGGTGAGGTATTAAAAGAATTGTTCAGGCAAAGATGCCTAAGTTCCAGAAAGGAACCACAGTTGAGGTAACATTAAGTAATCCTCAAACCGTCGAGCCCATAATGGAACGGGCTGACAAGAAAGAAATCCCGAAAATATTATGTAAAATTATAGATGATATAGATGATGACAGGCTAAAAGACAAAAGGTTAGTAAAAAAAGCCCTTAAAAATGGAAGTAATAACCCATTTTTAAAAGATATATTGAACGAACTGGAAGCTCCTGATAAGGCCAACATGCCAGTTTCAGTAATTAAAACATCCACACCCGGACGGAAACGCCCAGATGGATTGGAACAAGTTATTAAAACTAGGGACTTAACTAGACCTAAAATGGTTCAGTTAAGGCAAGATTTTTCACAGAAAGGTCAGACCGATGGAGACTTTTTGTTCACAATTCATAGTAAGGGAGGCGAGTCTATAAGACTCGCAGACAAGGAGATGCAGGTGGTTAATATCCAGATAGACAATCCAAGTGTTGCGGACACTTTGGCAAAAATTATACAAAAGGAACCTGACAGGGTACACACACTTTGGGATTGGATTGCAATAGCCTGGGCAGAGGCCATCCCACATATAGATTGGGGTGTCTTTAAAGGCCAGGTACAGTGAAAGAATCCCAGTGAAGGGATTAAGATAGTAAAGAAGTTAGCTATTTTTAGCAAAATTTATAATCAGTTTCAAGGATCCCCTTTAAGTGCTCACTTAACAGCCGCGCTTAGGAAAATAATTATAAAAGGGACACCAAAACAACATAAAATGATGTTGGCAACCATGCTAGCTGGAGCCAACACCCTATGAGATGTAGTTAAGTTCTTAAAGCAACATCGAAAATTACAACAAAAACACAAAATGTCATTTCAAGCTGCAATGACATTTCAAGCCAAAACCCGAAACCCAGTCTGTTTTCCAACAAATGGTAACAAAAATATTAAATGTTACCAGACAAAAAACTTCCATTTGGGAGGCCCGCCTGGCCAGCGGAGCCTCCCAAGAAACAAAAATATGTTGGAAAATAACAAAGACTGGAGAAAGGTGCGACCAGGACAAGCCTGGACACAAAAAAATGTTGCTGTAAACAACAAACAGATAGGAAGGAAAATAAACCCACAAAGGCCGGTACCGCGAGAAAGTCAGGTACAGGGCCAAAAAAAAAGGTTTGGTTTAACAATGCAGAGGTTTGGAACACCCAGATGACAAAACGGCCAAACACCCGGCCGTTCATACAATTAAAATTTATAGTTGATAATCAAAAATATACAGACTCCTTCCTGATAGATACAAAAAACAAGGTAACAATAGTCAGAGATGATTTTGTAAATAATAAACCAGCTAAGAAAAAAGTTATAGTACAAGGAGTATCTAGACATAGTACAAAAATGAAAAAAAAAATGGGTAACATTTAAAATATATGATTTGAATTATACAATACAAGTATTGGTAGACAAAGTTCCACATGGAGTATTAGAAATTCAAAAACTCAGGTTATTATATGGTAAATAGTTACCTTTAAAGAGATTGAAGTGTTTTGAAACAAAAATTTTAAGTCAAGTAAAGATTGATCCAGTAAAATTGCCCCATACTCCACCAATATTTACTAAACAGTATCCTATTAAAGGAAGACATAAAGAGATTAACACCACAATAAAAAAAATGTTAAAAAAAGATATAATAAAAAAGACATCATCATTTAAATATAACAGTCCAGTATGGCCTGTTATAAAACCTAATGGCAAATGGAAATTGATGGTAGACTATAGAAATATAAATAAAATAACCCCCTCTATGCCAGGTACTCTCCCAGATGTAGAGTCCATTTATGCTCAAATTAAAAATTTTTCACCTACTTGTTTTTGTGCTATAGATTTGAGTGATATGTTTTTCGCTATCCCATTAGATATTAAGAGTAGAAAATTAACTACATTCACTTAGAAATCAATACAATATAGGTTTAAGAGGTTACCACAAAGATATAAAAATAGCCCAATTATAACACATGTAACTTTACAAGAAACGTTAAAGGATTTTCAAGATCAAGAAACTACTAAGTTATGGTCATATGTAGATGATATATTGATTGCTAGGAAAGATATAACCGAGTTAAATAAGGTAAAAGACAAAATAGTTACATTATTAAAGTCAAAAGGATGGTCCATCAATCCTGATAAAATTCAGGGTCCAGCCACGTCAGTTAAATATCTGGGGGTGATATAAACTACAAAAGGACCTAAAGTTCCGGATACAGTGATAAATAAGATTTTGGCTTTACAATCACCAAAAACCAAGACAGAGGCTCAGCAGATGATGGGCATCTTGAGATATTGGAAATTACATATTCCATATTTACAAATGATTCTGGCTCCAATACACAGGGTATACAGGAAAGCTGCAAACTTTGTATGGGGACCAAAACAAAAAAAATCATTAAAATTAGCTAAGAAATATGTTCAGACATATACCCAATTGTATGTACCTCAACCTGGTAAAAAAATTGTAATTGATATAATATATGCCAATGACTTTAAAAATTGGGGCATATATACTAAAAGTAATAGTCAGACTAAACCAATTGGGTTTTACTCCAAAAGATTTCCTTTTTCCAAAAACAAATACTCTTTCTTTAAAAAAACAGTGTGGACAGCTTATACGGCGGTACAAAGTCTAGGTTTTGTTTTAACTAATAGAGTAGTTACCTTAAAAACTCAGATACCAATTTTGGATTGGGTACAAACTAAGGAGGAAAATTTTAGAGGTTTACCCATGGAACAAAAAATGTTAAAATGAAAATGGTATTTGTTAACTATAATTAATGATACAACAGTGTCAGAAAATAATAAGACATTAAGGTTATCAGAATTAGTTTTCACTCAGCCTATGGTAGAAGTACCGGTAAAGGTTAAACAACCAAAGACACAACCTATTAAAAGATGGGGGGCAATTGCTTCTCATAAAAATGCATGGTTCACAGATAGATCAAGTAAAGTAGTAAAAAATATCACTAAATAAAAAGCTGTGACATATCGACCAAATAATAATAAGATCTTAGTAAAGAAAGGCTCGGATGCCTCAACACAGTTAACAAAACTCTGTACAGTAAAATTGGCCGTTAAACAATCTATCCATGAAAAAAAAAATATATACACGTTTTTTCGGACTCATGGGCAGTTTGTAATGGTATTGCCATATGGTCTACAAAGTAAAAAAAATCTAATTATAAAATTAATAAAAAAGATGTATGGGAAATACATATTTGAAAATTTCTTGCGGAGGCACCTATACATGTAAAAATAGCGCACGTTGATGCTCACACAGGACGTACAGATAAAATATCTAAATTTAATGATGTGACAGACAAATTGAGTAAATTTGATTCCAAAGGGCTAAAATTGGTAAATAAGGCCCCTTGAAAAATATTAGATAAAACAGATACAAAGATTCGGTTAAAACGTGACCCAAATTGACATATAAAACTTCCTAAATTAAATACTGATATTTCGGAGGATGAGATCCGACAATTACATAAGAAATTAGGACATATTAAAACACATGAAATGTTCCAATGGTTTCAGGACAAAAATATAAAAGTTACCTGGGGAACATGTAAACGTGCGATATCTGGATGTGAACTATGTACATCCTCGGTGCAACGTTTCCGGAGAGATCCACCCCACAATAGACCATCCCCTAGAGGATTTAATGAAAAGGTACAAATTAATTATATTGGTCCTTTGCAAAATAAAAAATATGTGTGTACTATGGTAGATTGTAGTACCGGATTGGGACATACATGTACAAGTAGACATACAGATCAAAGCTCTACTATAAAAACTATTTGGAGCTGGTGTGCAACATATGGATGTCCTTAAAATGTGACTTCTGATCAGGGTTCTCATTTTACTGGTAAAAATGTTCAAAAATTAACTGACGTTTTAGGAATTAATTGAAATTTTCATTTGGCCTATAATCCACAAACAACAAAAAATATTAAAAGGTTCAATAAATTATTAAAGACTAAATTGTGACAGATAAGACAAGATGTACCATTTGACAAGACAATACTGATTACAGTTTTTAAACTTAATTCTAGACAAAAACTACACAGGAGATCACCCTTTGAAAAAACATTCCAAAAGGACATCAATGTACAGACAGACAGAGACCCAAACCCAGATAATATAAGACCATATAAGGTGTAGATACGTAACAAAAAAAATAACTCTGTGATTAAAAATGAAATTGTATCACACAGACAAGGAAATACCCTATGGGTATCAACTAAAAAAGGGGACCTCAAATTAGTAAAAAGCCAAGATGTTGTCACTAGGTAAACGTTTGTGTGTTTGGTTTAACATATGCTTTATTATCCTAATTGTATATTCTTACTTGCTTTTGGGTAGATATTTTTATTGTAACAAATGACAGACAACTCTTTTAAATGGTTCTACTTGTTTTATTAACGTGGATCATAAATTGTTGGTACGGGATTTGCTACCCTGTTATGTACTTAATTATACACTATGTTTCTGGTAATGACACCTAAAACTTTGTTACTTTTACTATTTTTACTACTTTTGATAGCCCTACAGTTCTATTCAGTAATGAAAAATCAAACTACAACTCCCACTACTTTTACTACTACAACTCCATATTATTTTGGTATCAAAAACATTAACCTGACCAAACATTCTTACAAAGATTAGATCTTCAATTATATTAATTTCACTCATTCACTTCAAAAATGTAATAATTCTTGTACAATAATACCACAATATTGGAAAAGTAACAAATTCCTACAAAATTTTACTGCTATTAAATACTTGTTCTATCATAATTATACATTTTGCCACCATTATAACAAATACTCCACACCTAAGGGGTGTGACCATTTTTGGGACATCAATACAGTTGGGGTATATAGCCCAATGTTTAGATCTAGTGCAGATAAAAAATATTCTAATAAATATAAAACTAACCCCCTCCGATGTCATCTGGTACCTGGGATTATAAATATGTGGTCTTATAAGCCACATTTTGTGTATTATTATAAAAAACTTGGAGACAAACCTTTAGTTAAGAGCTATAATGCTACAACAACAGTACTTAATAATCCAAACCTTACTATATATACTTTTGAGGAGTCTACAGAAAAAAATGACTTTACATATATAAAAACAACAAAAAAAGATGTTACATCACTGCCTTTTCAAGTTTGGGTGTCCAACAAACAAAATGATTATAATTTATTCAATTATAAATATAAAAAATATAACTATTCTTCATATAATGATAGAAAAAAAAAAGGTTCTGATAAATTTACAACTACAACCCCACGAACAACTACGTTGGAGATAAATTTGTTGCCATATAATGATTCTAAAAAAATGTTAGATAAGTAAAAAAGTTTACCTAGACATTTACAAGGAGCTAGGCCGTTGCCTAGATGGCCACAAGTTTTAGTTAAACCCTACAAAACATGGTGTCCAAAAAAGTTACAACAATATCTAAATTCCATAAACACTAAACAAAAGGCAATCGAGTTCGTGCTTGGTGTTCGCGTACGTCGCGGTCCGGGGTCCAGTGCAGATATCCGGAAGGGAACTCCTGGTAACCAGACAAGGCTGAGAAGCTGCTCGTGACAGTGGGAAAAGAAAGCAGATGAAATGCCAATCACCTGCAGAGTTTAGAAAAGGTGTTACAAAACCATCTTACAAAAAGAACGTGTAGTTTGGGCTGGGGATGTGGCTAAAGCATAGCCGGCTTGCCTGGCATGCATGCGCCCGGGGTTCGATCCTCAGTACCACATACAAACAAAGATGTTGTGTCCGCCGAAAACTAAAAAATAAATATTAAAAAATTCTCTCTCTCTCTCTTTAAAACAACAACAACAACAACAAAAACTTGCAGTTCTATAAAAAATTTAAATTATCCTAGACTTCATTAGGCTTTTCAGGGAGTGATTTATTTCACACACTTAAAAAAAAAAAAAAAAGCAGTGCAGTCAAATTGTAATATTTTGGTCCAGGCTCACTAAAACTCTTGAACAGCACAAACGACGTTTAGGAATAAACATTTGAATTTTACTGGTTTAGCAGTGGAAAGAACAGTCTGACACTAACAGGTGACTATTAATAGATTTAAGCTATGAAGTTAAAGAGTGTGTGTCGGGTCCAGGCCCGGCCTTTGGTCATGGAGTGTCCCTGCCAAGTCCTTGAACCCAGGATCCTGGGTGCGGCAAGGAGAGTCATTGGGGTTAGAAACAGAGAGCAGGAGAAAAAGGCGCTCCGGTGACAGTGCCCCCTCCCTGACCCAATGACTCAGGGCTTTTCCCGCATACCCACAATCCCATTCAGAGGCCGAGCCCAGGAGGCGGGACTGCGGGTGTCGCGCAGGCATCCACTTAGTTCCCGGGTCGAGTAGCCCCTCCCCCGCCGGGAGGCGCAAGGCCCCAGGAATAAAGTGGGGCTGGCGCTGCGGGTTGGCGTCCTCGCAGGGCAATGGTGCGGCAGCGCACTGGTGCTCTCCTGCAGAAGGTGCTGGTCACCACAGCCCGGGCTGTGGTATCCTTTGCGCTGAGCTGGGCTCCTGCCAGACCGAGCACCAAGCCTCCACCTTGGAGGTGGCCTCAGGTCCAAGTGGTGGCCTCTAGTGTGCAGGAGAGCCACTGCGCTTGCTTTACTGGGTCCTCTGCGCCATTGGCTTCCGATAGTCACATCTCCGGGGTGGGGAGACAGGCCAGCGCTGGTGGCCCTCACGTCCGGCAATCGGGTGCATAGTGGCTGGTCTGGTGGCTGCCATCGCGTCGCACTTGAGGTCTTGCCTTAGTCAGCTGCCTTGTCATGTTCTGCAGGCAGTGTGCACGACCTCTGCGAATGCCTGGAGACCGAGAAGTGCCTGAGGACAGTCAAACTCTAAACAGGAGCACAGAGCTGACAGGAAGGGATCTAGGGGACCAGCCACTGGAATCCTCTCAATAGGGGATGCCTGTTTTCCGAGAGGGGGAGCTGACATATTGGCCCTGCCCAAGTCCACCGCCTGCAGGGGGAACTCAGGGGCGCTCTGTGCTCTGTGGAACCCTCTGGTGGCCTGGGGATCCTGGCAGAGTCCTGCATTGGTGTCTGGAAAAAGAACTTAGAATTTTGAGCCTGTGTGTCTTCCTTGAGTCTTCAGAAGTGAATCCTAGAAGGAATGTGTGGGCCAGGCACATAAGGGAGGAGCAGACCCAGAAGTATGTTACTGTGAATAAGACCCTCGGGAATCAAATCTGTTTCTTGAACTGCTTTTTTTTTTTTAAAGAGAGAGAGAGAGAAAGAGAGAGAGAATTTTTTAATATTTATTTATTTTTTAGTTTTTGGTGGACACAACATCTTTGTTTGTATGTGGTGCTGAGGATCGAACCTGGGCCGCACACATGCCAGGCGAGCATGCTACCTCTACCTCTTGAGCCACATCCCCAGCCCTTGAACTGCTTTTGCCTGCTCAGTTTAACCCTTGATAAGGGAGTACTTTTGGAAATGGTAGGAAACTGCCTGGAGGTTTTCCTTAGGCCAATAGCCTCTCTTCTGCTTTTTGTTAACATCCTGACATCTCTCCTAATGTTGGTTCTAACAGCTGTTTCTTGGACTTTCAGTGTTGCTCTTCCCACTGGGTTTCCAAGCAGCCATGTGGGAGAACATTGAAAGTTTAAACTTTGTCCACAGAATGATAAAGAGACCCCAGGTGAGGATGTCAGCTCATTTTCCAAGTGAGTAACAGAGACTGGGAGAGATTAAAACTCTGGACCAAGATCATTTAACTAAGCCAGTGTTTGTCATAGTGTGGTCCATGGAGCAGTGTCATCTGCATCCCCTGGGAACTTGTCAGAAGAAGTTGTTAAAAAAGGACTTCTGCTGGGCAGGTGTAACTCAGTTTGTTTAACTCAGTGGTAGAGGGCTCACCTAGTACCACAGGGCCCTGGGTTTCATCCTGGGAGTGGTGGGGAATGCAAATTCTAAGGCTCTGTATTCTAAAATTCAGAAAGAGGGAAATATTGCAGAAAATACGTAATTTGAGTTTTGAAAATGCAGCCATGATTTATCATATATAAATTAGCTTGTAGTTTGGTTAAATCAACATTAGCTACTATTTGGGGTACTATATATTACATATTTTCTTTCTTTCTTTTGAAATCTGATCTTGTGATGTTGCCCAGGTTGGTATTGAAATCCTGGGCCCAAGCAATCTTCCAGCTTTAGCTTCCTGAGTAGCTGGAATTACAGGTGTTTAGTGCCATGTTTAACAGGTTTATTATCTTTTTTTCCTATTTTTTTTAATGCTGGAGATTGAACCCAAGGTGTGGTTTAACACTGACCTGCATTCCCAGTATTTTTTATTTTTCATTTTTGACACAGGTTCTTGCTTACTTGACACAGGTTACTTATTTTGACACAGGGTCTTGCTAAGTTGCTTAGGTCCTCAATAAGTGGCTGAGGCTGGCCTGAAACTTATATCCTCACTCCTCAGCCTCTTGAGTCACTGGAATTTTAAGTATACACCACTGTGCCTGGCCCAGTTGATTACCTTCAATCATCTTTAAGGGGAAGATTTAACCTTCATAAATACCTGTATATATCTACAATTTCAATCATAAGAAACAGGTTTGGTGATTTGGGTTTGCTGGCATGTTGTACTCTTATTGGGATTTTATTACTTTGATTATTTCTGAGAATCTAATGATCAAAATGAAAATATAAAATTTATTGAATTAGTTTCCCATCTGAATATCATATGTATTCACTCTAGAAAAAATTTTAAAAGTCAGAAATAGAAGGAATTAAAAAAAAAACTTCCAGAATTCCCTTATTTAAAATACTGTTCTTTTCACAAATAATGTCTTGTTTATATCATTGAAATCATATTTTATTATAAAATGTATTGTCTACACTCTTGTGACCTTCAGTTTTAATGACTGAGTCATGTTTCATTGAGTGGATGTAATGTCATAGTTAGTTTTTCTTCCATTACTATACATCTTGTGACCTTTATTAATGTTTTGGACCTGAAGTTTTTCAAACATTTTAAGATCATTTTCTTAAAGACCTATATTTAGAAGTATTGGATCAAAGAGTATGAACATTTCTTGGGTTCTTGGTACATAATGTTAGGTCGTAATATAAAATTTGGACTTATTTGGTACCTTTTTCTCCTATAGGTATACTTTGAATAATAATGTGCTAAGCCTAGAACAGAGAAAATTTTATGAAGAAAGTAGACTTCTTGTTATTAGAAATCTAGTATCTGATACTTATATTCAACACTTTAGGTGCAGCAATACTCTTGCTTATTTTACAAAAAAAATGTGTTATGGTAGTTATGTTATTTGCAGAGAAATGGGTGGAACTGGAGGACATCATGTTAAGTGCAGTAAGGCTGACTCAGAAAGTCAAGGATTATTGTTTTCTTTCATATGTGGAAACTAGAGAGAAGCAAAGGGGAAAAGGGCCTTGCATTCACAAGGCCATGGGTTTGATCCCCAGCACCACACACACGCAAAAAAAGTCTCATGAAAATAGAAGGGAGATCTGTAGAGTACAGAAAGGGGCCCATGGAATGGAGGTAGGGAGGGATAGGAGAGGTGCTAGGGAATGAAATTGACTAAAAGATGCTCTGTGTAGGTATGAATATATCACAATGAATCTAAACATTGTGTATAGTTGTGATTTATCCATAGAAATTTATAAAATATGAATTACATATTTTATTTGTAATAGGAATATAAAATTAGATTCGCCTCTGCATGTTCGGATATTTTTGAATGACGTGTTTTTTTAGGAATTGTCTAGGAGAATGGGAACCTAGCTAGGAGACCATGATTTCTGAGTTGGCCATTTTCTCCTTCCCCCCTCTACTAGGCCTGAGGGCTGACTTGGTAGAAACAGCTCCTGAATCTGCAGCTATTTGCACAAGACAGGGTCAACCAGGGGCTTAGAGCAGAGGTCATGACATTGTTTGTATATTTAATTTTCTAGGGTTGAATTTAAAAAGATCTGCTGAGAGGAGTCTAAACCAGTAGGACTGATGGTAATGAGAGATGTGTCCATTGCGAAATCAGAATATAGTCCAAGTGAGAAAATAATCTTGAAGATCCAAGATTTTCAGGAAGATAAGGAGCTCTTTAGATTCTGCACTCTCCCAGAGGTTAGAGACTGCTCTTGTTTTGGGTTTCTCCTTCATAGGCAGCCTGCAGGTCTGCCCAAGATCTGCTGGTTGTACTGAATCTAACCCCTTTCTACACATGACACTAGAGTAGTGGGTCTCAGTTGGAGGTGATTTTGACCCCCAGTGGATATTGGCAATGTCTCAAGACTTTCCTGGTGGTGACAATAGCAGGATAGGTTTGCTAGTGGCTTCTAGTGGGTAGGAGTCAAGGATGCTCCTAAAGGGTCCCAAGATCCTATGAAGCCCTCTCCCCAAGGAATTATCCCACCCAAAATACCAATAGCACCAAGACCAAGAAGCATTGCTATGGAGTGTCTTAATCTTTCTTTCTTTTTTTTTTTTTTTTTTTTTTTAGGAAAGACAGGAATTCTGTGTTAAAAAGAGAAAGAGCCCTTCTAAGACTCAATATCAGCAGTGGTGAAATTGTGAGACTGTTATTTGTAAATCTATTGACCTTTGTCTTTTTGTTTTGTGAATCTGGTCAGTGGAGTTATGAATTTGCTTTTGAATTTAAATTAGTTTTTATTTAATTTTTTTTAAATTTGTGGTACTAAGGGGCACTTTATCACTGAACTACACTCCCAACCTTTTTATTCTTCATTTTGAGATATGGGTTATGCTGTGGTTGAGGTGGGCCTTGAATTTAGGATTTTTCCTGCCTCAGGCTCTAAAGCAGCTGGGATAAAAGGCATGCATCACTATGTCTGGCTTAAAATGTTTTTTTAAACAAATTATATTATAATTAATAGTAATTCATATTTCTAAAAATACCCAAGCAGATCTCTCTATCCAGCCTCAGACTTTCTGTATAGCATTATGGAAAATCATAATCAGATGCTGTCAGAGTGTTTGACTCCTGGAGACAGACTTCACAGATAAATCACTTGTGATATACTGCCCAGCACCCTGGAGTAGAGGCCCAGGGAAATGGTTCCTGACCATCAGTGCTTCCCACCCCAGTGCTGTGATGGGAATGGAAGTCTGCAGGTGGATCACAGAATCACTTGAAGCCGGAACCATCTCATGGTGGATGAAGCACTACCATCCGTGATGTTCAGATTTCCTACTTTCCTTTCTTCTCAGGAGACTTAAAATCCATGGGGACAGGGACCTCCTTTTCTTATTCATTCTTTGGCCCCTTACTGGCCTTTACTCTGCTTGGTTCGTGGACCTTAGGGAAGAATTTGTTGAGAAAATGGGCAAGGTCCTCTGAGCTAGGGTTCTGCTTTCTATTGAGCTACTGGTGACAGCACAAAGTCATGGCCCTTCTTATGCAGGGTCTCCAAGGAGGAGGGAGACACTGCCTTCTGCCTGGGCCACCCTCGGTGGCTTTGGTTAGTAGAAGAGCTGATCCTGGGTAGTTGATACCTCCTAGATACTCTTATCTTTCTGGTAAGGCAAAATAAAAAGGTTATACTTCAATTATGCTCAAAAACATCCCATTGAGTTCGGAGTGCTGGAGATTTAGAATGATTTCCAAATACAAGGTTTTCATGCTTTGTTGGCAGTATTGTGAAATACCAATTAGTTTTCACACCATTACGATTTTGATTTCTGTGTGGATGGTGGCACTTTCACCACTTGCCTTTACTTCTGATTTCTAATGAAATCCCCAACTTTCTTCTCAATTTTCTTAGAGTCTGAAGTATGTGGAGTGCTTCACTGGACCCAATATTATGGCCATGCACACAATGCTGATAAACAAACCTCCAGATACTGGTAAAAGGCTTTTATTTGTTAAAGAGAGGCAAGAAAAAAGATTGTTTAATTAACATAGGTAAAGTTGATATTCTATCCTGGTCATGTGTGCAACTTTCAAACTGTGGGGACTGAATGTGCATGCTTTTGTATAAGTCTTAATAGCTGATGTTATATCAAATCTAAATGAAATAATGACTTTAGATGTTGATTTTAGGGTTATTGCTAAATTTTCAGATCACCTGCTCCCCAAAAAAGCAGTTT